GCTCAGTGGTAGAGCACCGCCTTGTATATGTCAGACCCTGAGTTTGATTACCAAAGAAATAAGAACAATAAAAATGTGATATTAATCATAGTAATCATTATGACCAGGGACTATGTTCATTATTATTTGGGGGGAGGAAGGGGAAATCACTAAAATTTCATACTGAAAATAGCTAATACTTCCTCTCAGAGTTTAAAACCCATACCATCACTAAATACCGAATTACCACTATTCTGATAAATTGACCTTTTATCTTTTGCGTGGGCATGGTACCCCTATCGACAAAAATACAGAATACTTAATCAATGGCTGAAAACATAGCAGTACTTCTACATTAATAAAAAATATATACACAGATTATTAAGGCATATATACCATTCTCCATTTCAATGTTTACAGTGTTGATAAAAGAAGTATTGACTATCATCAAATAAATGGATGTGTAACATACTGCTCTTAATTTTCTAGGATATCACCATATTATAGAATGATGCTTGACAAACAGTAGTTTATGGAAAAAAATAATCACTGCTTCTTTAAGTATGCTTTCTCATATACCATGCCAGATGAAATAACAAGAACCATAGTTTAATATTTTATAAAACTTAAATTATGAAATAACTGAGAAAAGCAAACACAACCATGTTTTCTTCTAAGTGTTAAAGTCAGAGGATTTATCTAAGAAAACTATAGTTGACTTGATTAAGCAAAACGAAATGAATTGTTTTACTTTATTATTAATGTTCAAGATTTACAGTATTACAGATATTGCTTTAGGTAAAAGTCAGAATATTTGACCATAAAAATAAAAAAACAACAAAAGACTCTCTTCAAAGTCTCATGTTTTGCAAAGGTGTTTCCCCCAGTGTCAGACTTGAGATCTGAGGAAGGTACAGAAAGTGCTTCCAAAACTCAAGAAACTCAGAATATTGAGCAGATCTGAATTCATAATTATAGATTATCATGTGTGTGTACAAATAGGGTAGTTTTCAGCTAAATGTGACTAGAAACCAAAAAACCCAATAATCTGATATAAAATGTTACTATGCACTCATATCTCTAATATGAAGATAGGCATTTTAGAAATAATTATACTAGTTCATCTAGTCAGATCACCTACAGTTAAAGCTAAGAATTTTCATTAAACTCCCTTTTAGTAGGTAAAGTAGTCAATTTGGAATCCCTTCAACCCGCAACTATCAAACTTAATATCAACTACTAAAAAGAATCTCCTGGCAGGCTCAGGTGACCATATAAGATGATCATATAAGATCAAACCCAGGTCTGAAGCATGCAAGAAAAATGCCCTGTCTGTTGTACTATCACTCTGGCCACAAAAGCAGAAAGAAATTAAAAGGCCCTGCCAGAAATACTAACTGATATATTAAATCATATCCAACAGAAATAATATGATACGGATTTCTTTAAATTATTCCCAAGGCACTTAAGAGAAACAATATTGATACAGCTTGTCATTGCTGGTGATGATTCCCCAAATATTAAAACAATGTCAAATTGTTTTTTGAAAAAGGCAAAAAAATGCCAACAGGCCTTCAGACTTTAGGTGCAATGCCCAAGATTTCTGTGAAGCTATCCAAATCCTTCAGGTATCATAAAATAAAAGAGTCAGAAAGGTTTAGGCTTAGGTTTAGGATTGCCGTCTGAAAAGGCAAATAAAAGACCTTAATTAGGAAAATATCTACCAGTAATTAATGTACCTGCAACCCTCCTTAATACACTCCCAGGTTTCTCCAATGTTAATTCCCCAGAATCATACCCTGTGCAGACCATCTTTCTTTTTCCAAACTTGAAAATATTTAAATTGTCTCTTTCAACTACGAACCTGCTGCAATGTAGCACTGTAACACTGTCCTCCCATTGGTCATCGATTTGCTCGAGCAGGCACCAGTAACGTTTTGTAACTGACCAGCAGCTGTCAGTCACTACCAGTTGCTCAGCATCCTAAAAATAATGTTCTGCATATCAACAGCCTAAGGAGAAGACCAAATACTAAGTACAGATTCTACTGAATGTGTATCACTTGCACACCACTGTAAAATTAAAAAAACAAAAAAAAAACCTGTAACTTGAACCATCATAAGAAAAGTACTGTCTTTTTAATTTTCTTATCTATTTTGAGTCATGAGCGCTAAATTCTAGAAAATATACCTGATGCTTGATCAAGAACACTGGATTATTTTATGAACATATTTATTTCCCCCCCGCATCATGACATTAATTCACACAATCTACATGTATCTGAGTTTTCTCCTTTGTAAAATAAGCAAAAACGATTTTTACAACAGAGTTGTTATGTGGCTTCAATGGCTTAAAATACTTAAGGTATTCTGAAGAGCAGGTGACATACAATAAAAACCAATCTCTATTTACTTCTTATGTGTAAAGAGCTAAGCACCAGCTAATCTCCTCATCGACCACCCCCCAAAACTCAGGATGCTCCTCCCAGATGGGAGTATAAAATGAGGCTCCCAGAACCATGCCACTGGACTCTGCGCCAGGCTGTGGGGCGGGTAAGAGTCCTCCCCACCCCAATGGACCCAGCTCCGGCAGCCAACCTCCACTACCCAACCACAGCCACACTCCAGGCCACTTCCCGAACCACGCGACACACTATAAGACACTTTCTACCCATTTTCCACAATTACTACACCATATCTGACAGGGTTCAGACAGTAGGCAACAAATCATAAAGAAAAATATATAAATATATGCCTCTTGAAGAGCCTGGCAAACTACAGAGAGTATCCAGCCCACACGAGCAGAGCCTGGCAAACTCCCCATGGCGTATTCAATATGCCAAATACAGTAACAACAAGAAGTCTCATTCCCCTGACCCTGAAAGAGCCTCCAATCGTTGGCAAAAGATGAGTAAAAAGAGGCTGCTAAAATCTCAGGGCTGGGAGGAATGGAGACATTACTGGCTCCCACTCGAGTAATCCGAAGATCAATGGGATGACAGTGATACAGTGACAGTGTGAACAGCTATAATAATGGAAGGTAGAATAAAACAAGAATGGCAAGAGGCTACCTCAATGGTGAAAGGCAGAGAGCGGAAGTTTGATAGCAATATCCTCATGCCCTGAGTCTGATCCAGGTGGCTATTTGGGATTCTAGAATAAAACCAGGTATCCTATATCCAGCACACCACAGCCAGGTATGTCTAAGCACCACAATGAGAGCAGTTCAAACACCAGGGCCAAGATGAGTGTGTGCGTGCAAACCCAGTGAGTATGTGTAGAAGGACCTCAACCAAAAGTTATCACAATAAACAAAAGGGAACCCAAAAAAGATAAAAAAAAAAAAATGATAAGATGGTTAAGAATGGTAAGCATGTTCAGGATCAAAGTGGGCAGGTTCAACTTCCTGCACAGCATCATGATGGGAAAGGAGCAACTTTTCAGGCAAAATCTTTCTTAAGATGATGACATTTAAACCCACACCTAAATGATCAGGAGGGTAGGAGAGAGATAATAAAGGAAATAAGGGATTTGCCTTGCATGTGCCCGACCCAGTTCAATACCCAGCACCAAGAATGGTCCCTGGAGCACCAACAGGGGTCACTCCTGGCACAGACCTAGGAATGGCCCCTGAACACAGAGGACCACGTCTAGATTTGGAAAAGAAAATAGTAGACCTTTTATGAGCACAGTAATACGTTTGCATTTTATTCTAAGTGTTTACTGATGACAATATGTCAATTAGATAGATTTTGAAAGTGGAATAGAATTTGTTGAGACAAGTTAACACTGCTGAGTTGTCCGTGTTCAAATGGGTAGGTGGGGAGAGCGAAGCCATTTCCATTTGCTAGGAGGGGACAGACTGAGTTAAGACCAACATGGAGAGACAAAGAAGAGAAAAATATTAACCATTTTATTTCTCACCTGTTAAATTTCAGGTGCCTCTACCACATTCACATAGTGAGCAGGCAGCATTCCAAAGTGGACTGCAAGAATTTTAAATCTAGGACTTACCATAAGTGCTATCGCTCCAGCCTGGCAAGCTCCCCATGACGCATTCGATATGCCAAACACAGTAACAACAAAGTCTCCAATGGAGACGTTACTGGGCCCGCTCGAGCAAATCGATGATCAACGGGAGGGCCTTTACTTTACTTTTTACCATAAGTAATATTTAAAGCCGGAAGAAAGGGTGGCAGACGACCTAAGGCATCCACTACAGTAAGCACCACAAACAGCAGCAATAGCTAAGATCAAGGAGCTTACCAAATCCCAGGCACTGGTATTGCTAATGACACGTAGGAAGCCAATTTCAAATCCTGGAAAACAACTCAAATCAGAAAGACAGAGCATAAAGAAATTGTGTGGCATGTCCCCTGTCATTCGGCTCATTTTGGAGCAGAGATTCGCACCCAAGGAAAAAGGCTGGAGGGGAGCTGGCTTTTTAAAAATCTACTTAGTCGTATCCTATCGTAGAGCAGAAAGGGGGCAAAGGGAAGGCCTTCTCAAACGGAGGACACGCAAACGCAGCAGGTGCTCATTTCAACTATGCAGTTTCAGATACATCGCGGGGCCACACAGGCTCAGGACCGATCGGAACGCAAACGCCACCGGGTTAAAGCTACAGGTGTCAGATCCTGGCAGGGCGGCCCGCAAGTTTACTTTCCTCTCCCTTGGCGGAAGTCTCAGAGTCCCAGCCTTCTCCACATCTGTCACCTTACCTGCCTGCCTCCCAGAAAAGTCATATTCCCTGAGTCCCCTACCCCAAGCATCTCCAGACACGCACCCTCAGAAGTCTAGGACACACCTCAGGCCTCGGTCCCCTCACCTCCGCCCTCGATTTCCCCGCCGGCAAAGGGCAGAGCAGCCCGTCACGCCTCCCGGCCAGAGAGTGAACTTGCAAGAGGAGGATTTTAGGTCTCCGGGAGCCCGGGAAGAAGGAGGCGAGGGAGCGTGTCCGAAAGAGCCGGGCAGGAAGCCGCGCTCCAGCACGTGGGCCCGTGGGCACGGACGCCTACTCACCAGGCCATCGATCTGCACTTGCTTCACGGCCGAATCGCCGGTGCCGCCTTTGCCTTTGCCTTTGCCCACCGCGCTGGTGGTGGAGGTAGAGGAGGCGGCAGTGGAGCCCGTGCCTTCCTTGCGGGACGCCATCTTTCAAGCCGGACCGGAAGAGAGAGAAACGTGAGTAACCGGAAGCGGAAGCGCAAGCCGCGATGACGTCAGGCACGGGGGCGGGCGTTTGGGGGGGCGGGACCAGGCTCGCTGCTTCTCCTCCCCAGCCTTGGACCAGCTGGTGGAGTGTTTGGGTTTGCGGATGGAGGCTCCTTTCCCACTGAAAGTTTGGAAATGAAAGGCGTTTTCAATGTTTGCCCCCTTTTTTTTTTACTCTTGATTTACCTGGTGTTAAGTCGTTGATCGTACTGAGATTGTAGCGCAGGAAGCATTCAGTTCTAGTTCTTTTAGATTAATTCCCATTACCTATCTTGTAAAATATGAAGAATAGTCCCAGTTCTTATTATACCAATTTGAAAACTGAGACCGGGCTTTACATTTTGTTAATTAGTGCCCCTCTGGTTTTGCAATTTGTCCTATATAATTTTAGAGAGCAGTTTCTAAACACTTAGCTATTACAGAAATGAATCAAAATATTGGAGTGTTGGGGCTGGAGTGATAGCACATCGGGTAGGTCGCTTGCCTTGCACGTGGCCTACCCGGGCTCGATTCCCAGCATCCCATATGGTCCCCCAAGCACCACCAGAAATAATTCCTGAGTACAGAGCTAGGAGTAAACCCTGAGCATCGCTGGGTGTGACCCAAAAAACAAAAATATATATATATTGGAGTGTTGATCAAAATTACCAGAAAAGAACTATTCGTAGCCCAAGTGGTAGAATGCATGCCGAGCATGTGAGGTACTGGTTTTACTCCATAAAAAATAATAGTGATGAAATTAACATAAAATAGTAGTTTTTTACTGCTATCATGTAAAATTTACAGGAGAAAAATAACAAAGGAGTTTTGGGGGGATTTTTTTGTTTCTGCTTTAGGTTCACATCCAGCTATGCTCAGGGATCACTCCTCAGGGAACTATTTGGGTACGTGGAGTCAGTACTTGATGAATACTTGGAGAATAATGGTATGTTGTGTTTTGTTTATTTTTATTTTGTGGAGTTTTGTTTTTTTTTGGTTAGTTGTATTTGGGGTTGGGTTTTTCTTCTTTTTTTTTTTTTTTTTGGCTTTTTTGAGTCACACCAGGCAATGCTCAGGGGTTACTCCTGACTCTGCACACAGGAACTTATTCCTGGCGTTGCATGGGGGACTGTATGGGATGCCAAGGATTGAACTGGGTTGGCTGCATACAAGGCAAAAACCCTACCACAGATCAAACACAGAAATGCCACATGCAAGACAAATACCCTACCAACTCTACAGTCACTTCTGCCTCTATAAAGAAGTTAGTTGACTTGAAGTGTGAAGTGTGATAGCATGATGAAGAGCAGATTTCCTAAAAATTTCCCCACTTCTAGGAAAAAGGAGGTCTTTTAAGTCTTTTAAGACAATGCTTGGCAGCTTTAGAAGACCTGTTTTGATTAGGAAACTTCTTTGCTTTCAAGTGCTAGAGAACTTCAGAGATCTGGTTCTCCTGCCTTTAGAGGGCCAATCTAAAAGACGCTGGGGCGCTGGATGGAGAAACAACTTAATTAGCAACAAGTCACAGATTGGAAGATGGTGAATTTATGGCCTCAAAGCGACTGTCCCATTTCACAGTTGCAAGAATACATTTTTTTTAAAGCAACAGGGAACAGGGAAGCTACTTTTTATTTAAGGAAGGGTGAGTGTTCCAGACCAGTGGGTGCCAGAATAAAAATAAAATTCCTTCATGGACTGGATCCCCTAGGCACTCTGTCTTATCTACAAACCTAGGTAAAGGTAAAAGGTATCTTTTGGGGTAAAGATAAACTGAGAACAAACTGCCCTTATTGTTGCCAAACTTGACATGGGTGTTTAATCTTACTCTCAGGATTATATAGGGTTGATTGGGAATGTAAGAAGAAATGTATTGTCATGGGGGGCAGGGAGAGGAAGTAATGTTTTAGGGTAGTCCCTGCTGGAGTCAGTACTTAACTTGGAGGATAATGGTATGTTGTGTTTTGCTTGTTTTGGTTTGTGACGTTTTGGCTTTTTGGTTTGGGGAGGTGTTTTTGTTTTTGTTCTGGGTTTATTTTTGGTTTTTATTATTTTTTTTAACTTACTTTTTTGAGTCACACCTGGTGATGCTCAGCGGTTTCTCCTGACTCAGCACTCAGGAATTACTCCTGATGGTGCGTGGGGGACTATATGGGATGACAAGGACTGAACCCAGGTAAGTCGCATACAAGGCAAACACCCTAACTGCTGTACTATCACTCTGGCTCCTGTATGGTTTTTTGTAAAGCTTGACAACAAACATGATGTCCAAGATCTACATGATAATCTTCAAAAGTCTTTTCAGATGGCCTGGTATTATTTTTTATTTTTTAATTTTCTGTCAAATCTAACAGTACTTAGTATAACATTAAACATGCAACGAATGACATCTCTTAGCATTGGGAAACAGGGTAAAGGCCAAGGGTGCTGAGAGATTACAGAAATCATACATGTAAGGGCTAGAGAGATAACTCAAAAGACTGGAGTTTACATGCAGGAGAACAGGGTTTAATCCGCAACATCACATGGTCCCCCTAGCACCTTTGGGAGTGATCCCTGTGCACTGAGTCAGGAATAGCCTGATAGCACTGCTATGGTGGCCAAAAATACACACAAAAATTATTATTATTATTATTATTATTATTATTATTATGTTTTTGAGAAGGAGGAATTTGTACAATCTTTTTTTTTTTTTTTGGCTTTTTGGGTTACACCTGGCAATGCTCAAGGGATTACTCCTGACTCTGCACTCAGGAATTATTTCTGGAGGTGCTTGGAAGACCATATGAAATGCTGGGGATCGAACTGGGGTCTGCCACGTGCAAGGCAAACACCCTACCCTCTGTGCTATCACTCCGGCCCCCAAATGGAGTTTTAATTACTATTCACTTGCATGTTCTTTAGTCTTTGGGGCAAGTACAGTTATCCTTGTTTAATACTAATCTTTGACCATTTTCAATCACTTGTATCACTTGTCATTCCGTTGCTCATTGATTTGCTCGAGTGGGTGCCAATAACGTCTCCATTCGTCCCTGCCTCTTGCTAGTGTAGCCCAGTGGCATCTGTTGCTCCAGGAACACAAAGAGCATCAAACCGTTTATTCAAGGTCTTGACAAAGAAGTCCGACCAGTTTCAATATACCATTTTCAATAGTAGACCTATTTTAACTTTGGAAATGTGGGCTCATTCAATAAATACCTGTGCAGAATTGACGAAGTGGTTACATCAATGGTTTTGTTGGGGCAGGGTTTGGGTCTGTTGTAATACAATCTGGGAACAAAAATAGTTATACCTAAAATATTCTTGATGATATGAAATTAAGAATTCTTTCCAAATGCAGATTTAATAGATACCAAAAATAGACCACAGTATGTAGAAATAACTAATTTAGAAGTTGTGAGGGTTTACTATAGAATTAGAAATATAACCAAACAAAGACAAAAAAAATGGAAACTGGTGCCTGTCACTAATCAGCATAAAAAATACCCAAGGTTGCTTAAAACAAGAATAAGTTTATTAAGGCCAGAGAGATAATGAAGCAACTGTGGCATTTGCTTTCCAAATTTCGATGCCTGGCACTCCTTTTGGTACTCTGAGCACCACCAGGAGTGGTCCCTGAGCACAGAGCCAGGAGTAAGCTCTGAGCACAGTTTGGTGTGGCCCAAATACAAAATCAAACCAATATTAACATTGCATCATCAATCAAAAAACTACTAAGTAAAGTTTAACGTTTTCAATTTTCTTCAGGGCCAGAGATATAGAAAAGGCCCTCCCGTTGATCGTCAATTTGCTCGAGCGGGCCCAGTAACGTCTCCATTGGAGACTTTGTTGTTACTGTGTCTGGCATATCGAATACTCTCGGTAGCTTGCCGGGCTCTCCGAGAGGGGCGGAGGAATCGAACTCGGGTCGGCCATGTTGGCTGCGTGCAAGGCAGACGCCCTACCCGCTGTGCTATAGAAGAGTGGGTAATAAATAATAAAAGAAACTAATAAAATGAAAATATACTATTTAAAAATAAAATAGATTTTTCGATTTTTTCCATAAAAATACCCACACTGTGGTTTTTCAGTCATATTTGCTGATCATACAATGATTTTTTTTCATCTGAACAAAGATCATGCAGATAAGCCCTCTGCATGAAATAAGTACCAATACAGAAAGAGAAAGAGGGTGGGGAGAGAGAAAGACCATCAGAGGAACTCAACCCAGAAGTTAGAGTTTGAAATGGGAAACAATTATGAAACATGTAGTGCAGCCATAAAATTATAATCACCTTAAGTAGAAAAGGCTTAAAAGTAAGGGAAATGCTTTCCTCACTTGAATTCTTTGTTTCAATCCTATCTCACTAGCAGCGCCTTTCTTCTTAATCACCATTGCTCATTAATCTACCCTTCCCTAACCTTTATTAAAGGACTGGAAAGATGGTGTAGAGATGAAGGCACTTGCCTTGCTTACAACTATAGCCATGATAGTTTAAATTCCTGCACCACCACATGTGATTCCTTAAGCACTTTCAAGAATGGATCTCCCTTCATCCCCCACATGTAACGTACATTACATATATAATGTATTTTATATTTTACATAATATATTATTTTTCCACAACTAAATCATTACATACCTTTGTTCTGTTATCTGTACTTCCTATCATGGTGATCTCATCTCGCCTCATGTCTCTATCTATCATGCATATGCTGGAGAAATTATTACCTCCCCAGACCTCACCCCTGAACTTAACATTAATGTGTCCTTTCGAATTTTTAATATTTCCAGCTAAGTGTCCAGTGGGCATCTCTAACTTTACTTTCTTGAAGCAGAGCTCTAAGTACAACAGCTCCTTTGAACAATGGGAGGACCGTGACTGTGATCTGTGAGCTGGAGCAATAGCACAGTGGTAGGGCGTTCGCCTTACAAGCGGCCAACATGACCGACCCGAGTTCGATTCCTCTGCCCCTCTCGGAGAGCCCGGCAAGCTACCGAGAGTAT